ATTATTTTTTAACGTCATAGCTTACTTTCGTTTTTTCTATGGAAATAAGAGTAAATTTTTAAATAAAAATAATAATTTTTTTAAAATTAAAATTTATTAAACATTTGTGGATGAGAATCTTTTATTAAAAATATTCTGTCAGATGTCAAAATGTTACTGTTACATGTTTCTAATAACTCGTTTCGGAATAAAATGGAAATCAATAAATTTAGAAACTCATTGTAAGCCTAATGGGGGCCCTACACACTCCGATAAAGGACAGTTTTGATCTAAAGCCAAGATTGAATCAGCTTATTTTATCCTTCACGTTCACATTAGCCAAAAAAAAAATTCGCCAGTCTTTCGATGATAACGAAGAAGAAAAGTTCATAGGTGCGGTGTAGGGAGATTTATTAAAAAGTAGGTAATAACTATAGTAGCAGTTTTAGTTATAAGTACTGTAACGGTTGGAACCGTTATTTCGTTATTTCGACACAACCACCTATTACTCAAATATCATTTGTCGACTTGTGAGATTTATTTTTGACTTGGTAGACAGCTACAAACAACTTGATTTTATTTTTAATTTATTTTGGTCATCCTAAGTATTAGATGATTTTTAATATTCTTAAAATCCGTCTGATTTTATAAGCATGGCTATATCTAGACGGTTTTTGATTCATCTCTAGACGTGATTTGGATTTATCTCTAGACGTTTTTTTGGATTCATCTCTAAACGTTTTTTTGGTTTAATCTCTAGAAGGTTTTGGTTCCATCTCAAGAAGGTCTTGGTTCAATCTCTAGAAGGTTTTAATCTCATCTCTAGACAGTTTATGTTCGAATACTCAAGATCATTCATAGTGCAGAATTATGCAGAATTACGAATAAGGATCCCGAATCCCTTGTGGAAGTTGCCTGAAGATATTCCATGATAAAGATTTACATTCCGTATATTACCTAACTTACCAAAAGATAAGTGCTTAATCAATAAATCGTTTTAAATTTGAATTTAGTAAAACTTAGGTGAATTAGAATTTGATAGCTACCTTATATAAAGCATGGTTTAAATATTATTTGTTAGTGGTTAGTGATTTTCTATATTTTTATCACTAATCTAAAGCCAAGTGTAGTAAGCTTTAAATATAGTGGTACCCAACTTCTTTTTCAAAGTTATTCGAGTTATTTAATAACCTAACCCACGCTTTATCAATTAAGCTCAAACACATTAAACAAGTAGATTTTAAGTTACAGTACACATACAATAATCCAAATAATTAGAATAAAGAAGAGGTTCTTTAAAGAAACTATTCGAATCATTTATTTAAATAATTGACAGTTTTCCAAATATAAATATATTTCAGAATAAAAGAAAGAATATTTAATGTGAAGAAGGAACTGATAGAATATCGGTTAAAGATCCTTAAACTAAAGGATGCATTTGGAAATGTTAAATTAAAATTAAGGAATTCATACCTACAACACCAAGGTTCAAACAAAGCAAAGAAAAATTGAAAAATCTGAAAGAAAAATGAGTCCAAGCCTGGATTTGTTAATTTACTTCTTGGTACGTTTACCAATTAGGTCACCGGAGCACACAGCTACGACGGTTGAATTAGCTAAACCAATACTGCATTGGTGGCTTCAGTGAGGATTGAGAGAGCTGAAGGAGGGGAGAATGTGTGTACCGAATAAAGCTGTAAATTTGCCATTTCGATCTTCGATTGTGCTTCGGTGGTCTAATTAATAAAAGTATTGAGCAGATTCTGGTCCGATCCCATATTTTTTCCACTTCAGTTTTGAAATTTTTTAATTGGTGTTGTTTTTACCTTGAGGTTGTGGGGATGGATAGCTTAATTTGGTAGAAGGAATTGGGTTTTCATTTGAATTTTCAGATGCATTCCACTTAAAGATAGATTAGCTGCCACTTAAGATATTTTGCAACTGGATGACCACATATAAAGATAATTGAACATCACTGATTATCGAACTCAATTTGGCTGTTAGTATTATTAATATTTGTTTTTAATCACATTTCTTACTAAACTTTATCTAAATCGTCGATAAATCCCAAGGAAACTACCGCCCCACAAGGTACAGTTATTGGCCATGGCCAACATGTCAAAAGATCACAGATCTGACTGGAGAGGCCAGATGTTAATTAGATCAAGCTCTTCACGTTGTTTTGGACTGAATCGATGGACTGTAAAGTTAAAATCTCACAAAAATCGCAGTGTGAAGGACCCCTTTAACCCAAATTACACAAATGGCGTATCTGAACATTTTTATTATGGGTAAACCTCTTAAAAATTCTACTCAATCTTATCTTAGTTATTATTTGAGATAGTGAAATAATTTTCTCTGTTTGCGAGCTTGGATCAAAAATGTTTCATGAGAGATCATAACTTATTTTCCGTTTCCTCGGAAACAATACTAAATATCTCTTTAGTTTTATTTTTATATTTTTACCAGTGATGCATGCAGGGTTAAAGCATCAAATAATAATAACTCGTTTAGTACCTATGTTTACATTAAAGGTTGAACACATACTTAATAAATGCCCCATATATATTTAATGGTACAATATTTATAAAAGTATTTTCTGCAGTTTTATGGGTAAATTTTCTTTCCTGTCATCTGGCACGTACCACAACCGCCAAATTGGCCTGGATTTTTTTTTATTTAAACATTACCTATTAGTTAATAGGTTTCTTACATTACACTCAGATGTTTTTACTTCAAATTTCGTAGCAGTTTGTTACTTTCGTACAAGCGGACACAGTACAGGGTGCGTAAACACATTGTTTACCACTATACAGCTGAAGTATCCTCTGTACAGCGGTATACAATTTAGTAGTAAAAACGCTCATTTTGATATATCATTCCTTACTGTGGTAAAACCGCTCATTGCGCTGTAACAGAGGAACTTTTGGGGAACACATTAACCGCTGTATTTCAGCTGTAGTATGCAACCGTTTCGCGCGTTTTTATTCCTTTACCGTAACTTGTTGTTAAGCAGTTATTAGGTTAACGTTAAGATATATCATCAATTTTTTTTTGAATCATGTCAAAAGAAAATATTTTTAATCAAATAAAATAAATTTGTAACCAAGATTTCTTGAGTTTATTTTGGTTTACGTCTTCATTAACCTCGTGTTCTGCACACTTACAGACAAGCATTGTTCCTATTTTCCAGCGCCACTTTAGGAACTGCACTGTTAATTAGAGTCCAGCAGTAATTTGCCAGAGTAGAGAATCAAACCATCTTGACCTTTTCAGATCAATTGTTGATATCCTTTATTCGTTGTTTAGAGTGCGTTATCTAGTTTGTTCCACTCTAGTAGACCATAGACTAAAAAGTAGTGCTTCAGTGTTTAGGTTTGCTTCTCCAAGTGTAAGGAATATCAGTCTTGCTAGATCTTCGGAGTAGCACAATACGAATACTGCAATATCCTGGTCTACTGAGGAAATCAGCAAAAGGTTTCTTCCGCCAGGCCGATGTTATACTTACGAGTATGTTTGTAAAGCCTACACTGTTCTGTTAATAAGCCTACTACTACTCTAGTATATTTCCTAATATGGCTAATACATGCTCGGCGAGTTCTTAAGATTGTTCTTTTAAACACTCTTCGGGCTGTCAATGCCCTGATGAATTTTTCCACAATTCCTGCTTTGTGCATGCTCTAAAAGCTGTCTTTGTGACACCACGGAAGGTATCTGGGACAGTAAGATTTTCTGCGGCTTCCAAATAGTACCACATAAGCTTTGAGGGAATCTGTATAAAACAGTTTCATTGTCTGAGTATGCCAATAGTTTTTCCATTTACCGTAATATGTTATTTTTTTTTTCGCAGTGATGTATTGATATTATTTTTGTCTGGAATAGTGTCGCATGTTTATCGAAAGTTCAAGCATGTTTATATTTGTACAAGTGCATTAGATTATTTTTATAGTATTACTTTAATAAAATGCACTAAATGCTGTATGCTTTGATAACATTTCATTTGCATTGGCTATTATGGTTCAGAGCCAATCTTTGCTACAACGTAGTAAAGAATTTAGTCGATATCGGTAATTGAGTTACATTACTTACCGCTGTAACAACCGCTGTTCTAGCTACGACGTAGTAAAGAATATTTTTAATAAAACCGGTAATGTTGAGCGGCGATCTCAACTGTACCGTGGTAAACAATGTATTAGACGCGTACAGGGTAGCCATTTTGTTTGGTCCAAATCCCTTACATGTGAAAATATAGATTATAATGATTCAGGTCAAAGTTTTTCTCGCGAATTAGTTTTCTTATTTTATGTACAGGTTACTTACATACAGTTATATTATTTTCAGAACAAAGAAACCTGTACATTAACATTTTGTCTAGTCGCTGATAGGGTTGAAACAACATATCGGATGCCCTTAAGACCACATTATTTTTAACAATATGCAGGATATTTCGTCTAAAAAATGTTACTCTGTATATAACTAATAAGTCATTATTTAGATATAACAGCAAGTTCTGACATCACAGCGTATGTGCAGCGATGGCCCAATTGGAAGAGCGGGGATGGCCCAAGTACAAGGTCCAGGTTCGAATACCGGTCATGCACGTTTTTTTCTTTCTCTAATTTTTTAGTTTTTTTAATTATTTGATTTGTTGTCACTTTGGGTATATAAGGGTGTAATTTTCAGGGTGAATTAAGGATTTTTTTATTTTTCAGAATATACAAATCTGCACAACATTTTAATTATAGTTTCTATAGCAGTATTTGCTATAAGAAGGAAAATTATTTATATGCCAAATTTAAAATTTGGTTGTTGAGTGTCGGTCAAATTAAATTCATAAAGCTTCCTATATCTAGGTGATTAGATATGATAGATTATAAATGGAAAATTTCGAATTATTTAATTTTTCTACAGATAAAATTAACGTAGGTATATTTATTTTACGCTGATACACCCTATACAAATATCTATTTTATTAATTTGAAAAAATTATATATGTTTTTTAATATTTGCAAATTACACTTGAAACATTTATTTAAATAAATTATCTTCCAATTTTAGTATTAGATAAAAACTTCCTTCTATGAAACTTTTAGTGGATACTAGAGGCTCGGCTGCGTCACTGGTGGTACGATAGGATCAAGTAAAGGCGATTTGTCCGTTCCTTTTGGTACCATCATTGGTGATCGTATTTCTACGGACCAGGGGTCCAACAACTGAGAGCCATTGTGTTGGGTAAGATTGCTATCAGGAAATTTGACTGATTTTCTGGAACCCCGCCTGGCACTGTTTATATTCGGTGATAGAATGTCCGGTATCATTGAGGGAGAATGTCCTGGAAAAAAATACGCTTTAAAGAAAATAGTTTAATGCATTCTCCGACTAAAAAAAAATAAAACACTAGAACCATAAAATTTGGTAAATTTTGAACCCATACCACAGAAGATAGAACAATACAGAAAAGAAACATAGGGCTAGTTCCACCACAGAGACTGAGAAAATAAAATTATTCACCTATATCTAGCTCTGTGGTATACTTTAAATAGGTACGTTTTCTCAGAGTATCTCTGTGGTGTAATTAGTTAGCCTTATGTTTCTTCTTTGTATTGTTCTCTATTCTGAGCCCATACATATTAGATTATATTTATTTAGGACTTTAAGCCGTAGCCTTATCCACCCTTACGTTTTTGGATCTATTGTGGATATCCTTTAATCATTGCTAGAGTAATTTTTCTAGTTAAATCTTTTATGGTAGACTTTATAGTCTAGGAAGTAGCTCTTCGGTATGTGGCTAATTGCCCTTCGGTTTTCTTCTCTAAGTATGAAGACTCTCAGTCTTAAAAAATAGACGTAACCGTACATACTTTTTTACTTTAAAATATCTTTATTTACATGTTTGACTATATACAATTCATTAAATGAGGTATAAACAGCAAGAATATATTTCACACTCGCGATGTAACGAATCGAAGCATTCTCGCATGCCCGGCTGCATGGACGAAACGTCCTAGCCCGAAATACCGTCAATCCAATTTAAAATAACTGAATTTTATGTGCCATCTCCTTATCGGTCGATATTATATGGCAAATGTTGGTGAGTTTGGGATCAAAAATTGAGTTTTGTGTTAGTTTTTGTGGGATTTTACTTGTGATTGTCTTCCCTGGGAAAAACTTTGAAAAACCAGGGTTGTCCTTGTATGTATGTGTGTCATTTGGTATAGTCTATGTCTGCGTGTAACTATTTTACTCAGCTGGACGATGAAATACCATCTCCAGCCAGGGTATCGTGGCAGGCCTCGATTTCCTCACTGGGGAGTGCCGTCATCGTGCAGTCTTCCGTCGGACTAGCATGTTTAGGTACTAGTCCTAGTAAAATAGTTATTTAGTGTATTTGTCGCAGTGAGAAGGATGTTGTTGCGTATGTTTGCTAATTGTCCCGTCTGTATAGGTCCAGCTTTTCGTGTAAGCATCCACGCCTTCTGTCTCCGGCATTTTCGCTGTGTTGAGCGAGACTGCCTTCCTTGAGATAATCTGGAAGACAATATGTGTAGAATTTCTCAGGAGTAGTGGCTATATACTCTTTGACAGTGGGCATGGATGATTCATTGTGCATGTCTGTAATTCTGGCGTAGCGGTCGTACACCAAGGCCAGTCGAAGACACCTGTTTTGTACTCTTTGGAGTTTTTGAATGTGGTTATCCGCTATGGAGCAGAAAACTGGAGATCCATACGTTAGTATAGGTCTTATGATCTGTTTATATAATAATAATAATTTATTGTCATGAGTAACTCCACTACGCCTATGTAGCATAGGGTAAAGTATGCATAGCATAGCCGTAGCTTTGTTAGCTCGTTCTTCAACGTGGTTTTTGAACGTTAGTCCCTTGTATAGTGTAATTCCTAGGTATTTTAACTTATTCGTTGTTGGAATTTTATTCTGTTGGACCTTCAGCTCAGTAACGATGTTATTACTTCGCATTTTAGTTAGTAGGACCGCATCGGTTTTATGCGGGTTAATTTTAATTTTATTTTTGTCTAGATAAGGGACTAGCGTTCTATTTGTATGAATCTCCAGTCTTCTCATGGCTATTTCAGCCGATGTTGATGATTTGTATATACAGGTGTCATCGGCATACAACGCCGTCTGTATACCACTAAGTCCCATGGGTATATCATGAGTCATGATGGTATACAGGTGGGGCGAGAGTACCGAACCCTGAGGTACTCCCGCTCTGGCAGTGTATGGTCCTGTAATGGTTTCGTTTATTTTAATATGGAATGTTCTGTTTTGTAGGTAGTGTTAAGAGTGAGATTATGGGTCCTTTTGACTGGCCCTAAAGTCCACTCTTAGCGGTAACCACGGGTTATATATAGGGGCCCAATTCGTATTTAAATTGGCCTCTAGATAACACACGGCTAGGGGGTTAAGTTCAGACGGGAAGACCTAAGGAACCCTAACTTGAAAGATTGAAACAACAAGCGTAAAACAAATAACTATGGTTTATTTAACAAATATATAAATATAGCACTTCAATAATCTTTGCTAACTACACAATTAAATATTACTCCTTAAAAGTATCTACTTACATTAACATTGTTATCCGTTGGGCAGCAGGACTGGCTAAAGGCACACGTTACTTTTTCCACTACGTGGTTTTACACAAAATAAAACTAACCGCGATTTCGCGTGACCGACCCGAAATTTACTTAGTGCCAAAAACTGGACACGACCGATCGCCAACAAAAACCCAAAGGAACTCCCCGAAAATTCACTTGTAATTTTCCAAGAATGCTCGTGTTGATCTTTCTTGACCCTGTACTTTAATATTATGATTTAATAAAACCTTGTCCAACTACACGTTTTGTTATTTAATTGCAAATGTATTTAATGTGCATGCCCTTGGACAAAATTTACAAATCATAACATACCTATTCACAGGGTGTTCTATTTATTCGTAACATTGTTTTTACAAGGTACACAGGGTAATCCTTCACAAACATTTTATAGATTAAACCGTCAGTCCAAACCGTGTCAAAGGCTTTTGCAGCGTCTAATGCCACAAGTACTGTTTGCTGATTTTTATTGAAGACTTTTTTTGCGTGATTTGCAATTCTTATTACTTGTGCCACAGTGCTGTGATCAGCCCTGAACCCGTATTGTTCCGACGGTATAATCAAATTATCTATTTCGTATGTGTGTAGTCTGTTTAATATTATGCGGTCTATTATTTTGGCCATGCCGTTAAGTAGAGAGATAGGGCGATAGCTCTCAACAACTCTAGCGTTTTTACCCTGTTTTAGGATGGGGATCACATTTGCAACTTTAAGTTTTTGAGGGTAATATTGTAATTTGAGAACAGCGTTGGTTATGTGATGTAGCTGTACATAAGCTTTAAGAGTGAAGTTTTTAATTAAATTATTACTAATGCCGTCAGGCCCCGGGGCCCTCCTGTTGTGTAATCTCTTCACCATATCCCTGATTTCTTGTGTTCGTTGATAATTGTGTTTATGTGATTCCCAATGTCGTGAAGTCTAACCTTGTCGTCATCTTGTCTATGTTGTTGCCAGCGTCGTCGTATATGATTTTTGTTGGTAATGAGGTCAAGGATGTTTTGTGGTAAGTCATCTATATGTGGTCCAAGTTTTTTTGTTTTTGTTGAGGCATCTCGTGCCTTAATTATTGCTGTAGTCAAGTGTTGTATTTCGTTGTCCAGTGTAATTGCGTCGTGTATGTTGTTATTATTACTATATTCTTGTCGAGTGTTTGTCTGTATAGTTTCCAGTCGGTGTTCTTGTAATCGAGGTATTTACCCTGTGTTCTTGAAATTTTATGGTTGGTTTTAATTTCAAGATACACAGGGTCATGGTCCGAGGTAAGTGTTTTGATGGTTGTTATATTTTGAATGTTAGGTAAGTTTTTGGCCATGGCAATGTCGAGTGTGCTCGGTGTCATGCCACTGTAGGGGTAGTGTGTAGGTTCATCAGTGTAGCGAATGATGAAGTCGTGCGTGTCGGCGAACCCGTCCAAGATTCTCCCGCTGGGATTTGGTCGGGTGCAGTTTGCATCCCAATGAGGGTGTTTGGCGTTGAGATCACCCATCAGGAGGACTCTGTTACCTGTATACATGACAGTATGCAACTCAAGTGCTGTAAGGTGATTGTGGGGGTGGTTATATGCACCGATGATTATGATATTATTTTTTTTTTATTATGATGTGTTCGAATGCTATGTCTAAATTAGGAATTTGTTCATAGAGTAGAGTGCTTTTGACTATGAAGGCTATCCCCCCACCTCTGGAAGTTAGTTTGTCATGTCGAAGTACGTGGTAGTCTTTTATTTTTAATTTATGGGCGGGTTTAAGGCGAGTCTCTGAGATAAGTATAATATCAAACCTATGTTTGTGAATGAAACTGCTTACCATAGGTTTCTTATAAAGCATCCCATTAAAATTGTAAAAACATATTTTAAGCGAGTCTAATTTGCCGCCGTGAAGTTCAGTTCATAAAATTGTAATTGTCAAGTTCTGATACGAAATCATAATATATTATAAAACATTCGGCATTTGAATTGCAGTTTGTTAACCTAGAATTTAACTCACGTACGGCTCTAATGAGCTCACCAACATTTACCAATTTACCTAGTTTCTGGAATTCAGCATTTAGGGCTTGGATGTCGTTCATTGGAGCGTTTCTTTGGTTGGGGCGTGGCTAACTGTTGGTCTATTATCTTGATTGGTTGCATGTTGTGGTTGGTTTTGCATGTTCCTATTGCCCGGTAGGGCTGGAAAATTCTCTCTAGGGGGTGGGTTGGCTCGCCGACGGTCCCATACGTTTGCTGTGGGGGCCGGTGCAGGGATGTATTTAGGTTTGGGTTGTGTAGCTTGTCTTTTTTCTTGGAGTCTATCTAGTCTATCTGTGTATGATTTACACTTGCTCTAGTTGGCAGGGTAGTCCTGCACGCAGTTTGCACATGTGGCAGCCGTGTCCCTGGTTTTAGTGCATATTCTAGTTAGGTGCTCACTTGCGCACTTAAGGCAGCGGGGTGGTCGTCCGCAGTTAATGGTGGCATGTCCCCAGAGTTGGCAGTAACACTGGATTATCTGTTTTGTTGATTTCCGAAGTTCCCATATGACTCGGGTGTACAGGACTCTTCTTGCGTTCTTGTTCAGATAATCCAGTGTCAGGAACGGGTCTGTGACTACCAGGAATAATGGTCGATTTTTGGTGTTCATGCGGAAAATGTTTCGTACTTTGATGTCGTATTCTGCGACTAGATCATCCTCAATGTGCTGGGTTTTCGTTCCGTCTGCTAAGCCTCTCAGGATAAACGCATGAGACTTATCGTCATTGATGGTGTAGGTATGATGGGCGATATTTTCCTCTCTTACACTCTGCAGCACTCGTAAGTGGTCCTCTTTCTCTTCTACAAAGAGTATGGTAGAGTTATTGGTATGTTTTACACTGAAACTACCCTTAACTTTTGCTTTAAGGTCTTGAATTAGTGCTGGCTGATTAATAGTTTTCCCATCAACAACGATTGGGGGCATCGATGCTTTTTTGGGGTTGTTGGCCAGGGTAGTTCTGTTTTGGGGAGCTTTTTTGGTTGGTACTGTGGCTGTTGAGTTCATTTCTTGGTTATCGGAGGCATTGTTGTTTGTATTGCCGTCTTTTGGTGTGTTTTTTCGTTTCCTCTTAACAATTTTGCCTATTTCATCGTCTAGGTCGGAGTCTGAATCATCGGTAAGAGGTTTAAACTTGTTGCTGGTAGAGGTCATTGTAGGTTTTGTTTTTTCCCTTATGAGCCTCTGGAAATTCGAACTAAATTTCCTGGGTGTTTGGAAGGGCAGCTCTTGATGGTTAGTCTGGTCTTGGGGTTTGTCTACTTCCCTAGTTTCGGGTAGCAGTGAATTGTCACGGAGATTCCAAGTACTGTTGGGCGACGTGGGTAATAACCAATTACCTATTAGATTAAGGCCCGTTGCACCCTGTTCCTCCTCTGAAGTGGTTTCACCAGTATTAAAGTTGTGTATTTTCTGCTGCACGGTGATGGGAATGTCAGTGTTGGTAGAGGGTGTGCTATTTGAGTCTCTACTGTCAATTGATCTATTGACCTGTGGATCAGAATTGGTCTTTGCAGCAATATTCGGAGTATGGGATGAAGATTCACCGAGATTAGGGCTACTCAGTTCACCTGTCCTTCGGCTAGTCTTCAAACCTGGGTTGCTGTTGAGTTTGATGTTCTCCAAACTTTTTATTCTTGGTCTAAATAGTTTGGGTGAGGCACCTGTGTTATCCTGGCTAATTCGAGCGTTTTGAGTTTCGATTCCAGTACCGAAATTCAGGACTCTAGCCCTGGTTCCTGTGGGTATATCGATCCTTTTTATAGTAACTTTTGTGGGGTGCGTGGATTCGGCCATGTACGCTGATTTAAAGTTTGGTATGGGGTCTACAGAACTGGATGGGGTGCTACTTTTTACATTCATTTGGTTATTTGCCATAATTATTGCTTTTCCCTTGGGAACAGAGGGGTGACCCGTGTCTAGGGGATTTTCTACACTATTAGGGGAGTTGGTGAAGGTGCTGTCGTCAGCATCCATATAATCATCTGACTTGTCGTCACTGGCACTTCGACTTAAGCTAGGAGTGTTTTTATCCACCTTGTTAAGTGTTTTGGGGATGTTCTCCAAGCTTTTCGTAATATTCTCCCTACTTTTTCCGGAGTTCTCTATACTTTCACTTTTATTTGTGTGATTTTCTGGTTTATATCTTAGTGAGTTGGAGCCGGTACCTTCTTTCGGGGTGTTGGGGTCATTTTCGGGGATGTTATTCACACTAGTTGACAGATTTTTTATTGTGGGGTTCATACCTTCCTCGGAGCTTGAGGATTCGTTCCAGTCCCCGTGAACTTCCTCTAGAAGTGTCTGGGGGTCATGTAGAGGTCGTTCTTGAGAATTTTTGGCCGGGGGGCAGCTGACCCCTGGGTTAGAATTTATAGTTGTTAGTCCCAATAGTGTAGCTTTACTCACGGTTAAGTTGGTCTGTCTTTTTGTTTTGGCTTTTAAGTGCTCTGGAGTTTGTATTATTGAGATGTTCCTAAGTACCTCAGTATGTTTCCATCTATTTCGCTGGCGTTTGGAGTAGATAGTGGGATATTCCGCTATATTTTGCTTGCTTGCCCCGGAGGGCTCTACCATGGAGCAAAGGCTCCTTTTTGGAGGTTTTTACCTATACTACCTGATCAGTTTGTCTGTGGGCCTTTAAGAACTTGAAGTCACTAACGCAAACCAAAATAATTTTTATTTTACGACACCCGCCACTGGAAAACAATAATTGATGTAGGTGTAGCACAACAACTAAAAAAGATATTTTGATAAGAGAGCCGCTTTATAAACGTCTTTACTGTTCGACTGTCTCGATTACTACAACCGTACATACTTTTTTCTTTCTATCTTTCTTTCTGTGGCAGTCTTAGAGAAAGGCAGAGGTTAAGCTCTACTCGCCTATAACTACCTAACCGCCTTGGTTGCTTGTTTTGCACTATGTTAAATAATAAATTTAAATATTTGATTATTAAAACTGAATTTACATTAAAAACCAGCAAATAATATTATTTCCAGATTTTAATGTCATAGTAGTAGATATATACCGGGTATTTAAATTAAAGTGTTACAGTTTAATATCGCCGAAAATATGCATTTTAGAAAAAAAAGTTTCACATAAAAATTTTATAGTTTTTTGGGGGAAACATTTTGGCCAAATTCATTTTTTTATAGCTGACCATAATATGGCCATATCGAGGTGGACTTTGTTTTTTTAAATGGGAATCCCATTTTTTTAATACATATTCTTAAAGTACATAAAAAAATAAGAAACTTTTGAAGAAAATATTTTTTTATTGGACCTTTACTTTTTGAGTAACAGCTAGGCAAAAAAAAGTTGACTATATTATGGTTTAGCTATAAAAAATGATTTTAGCCAAAAATTTTTCCCTACAAAACTATAAAACTTTCGTCTGAAATGTTTTTTTTTATAAAAGGCGGTATATAGCTGTAACACTTTAATTTGAACATCCGGTATAATATTGTTACAACAGTTGGTAGGACCGCAATGAGAAAATAACAATAACAAAATATTAATTACCAAAACATTAATGTTTCTGGGAATGTTAATTCCGCCATCCCAGCATAGTTATTTTGTTATAATCCTGTGAGTTTTCATGTAGTTAATTCCAGAAATAGTAAATCGAGTATTAATTTAAATTCTGGGAAGGAAATGTAATTTGTATATAAATTTCTAAGAATATTGTTAAACTAAAACTATTACCTGCCCCTGTTGGACTTTGTGTAGGCGTAGGTTTGGTTTCATAATACGTCACTTGCTTTCTTGAACTTAAATAACTTGTTGCGGTTGGCTGTGAACTATAATGCACATTGGGTACCTGGAACATTAAATACATTTTTCCATTTACATTTTACAAAAACTACTATTTTTTTTTTCGTGTCGATGCCCTTGCCTCTCAGATAATAATACTTAATTACTTTATAATTTGGTAATTAGATAATACATTGATTTGACATTATTAGAATTGATATCATCAATTTTGAAAAATGTTATAATGATCTTGCTCACAGCGAATTTGTATTTCGGATTATTATAATGTTATCATGTTTACACTAAAAATTAAGAAAATTCTAAAGTTTTATTTTGTATAATCATTATAGAAGCAGTTAAAAGAAATAATTAAACTATAAAAAAAAAACAAAACAAAAAATCAATACATGTATTTTTTCGATAAACTCAATAATTTTATGAAGTTTTTAAAGAAGTTTTTCCACTCTTATACTATAAGTTGTTAATTAAATGCTAATTTTCAATCTGATAATGATACTCATTATAACACTGGTTTTCATTATGAAACAGGAAATCAAATTCTCCATTCAATTGATAATACAAATAATAAAATTCATATTAATTTGTCCTTTTCGCTGGTACACCTCAAGTACTTTTTAATAATTGTACTATTCAAAATTTGTATTTAAACAAAATTGATTAAAATGTAATTTATAATTTATCTGAATTAATATGAATTCGTTTATGTTTATTGTTAATAGTTAAATTAAGATCATAATTATTATATTGGTTATTGTGTAGGAATAATAAGTCGAAAAACTTATTTTTCTTTCATATTTTATTTCTTATTGTTTGTATAAAAATGATTAAAAATTAAAAAAAATAAAGCAAATAAAGCTATTAATACATGATCGTTGCATAATGTACTATTATGATGATAGTCCAATCAAATTAAACTTTAAAAAAAATTGTTAACAGGACTTTGATGAGTGTAAATGAGGAACTTATAATAAATTAAACAAAAATGAAACCTGGGTTTTAAAGAGTTCAGAAGGGGAAAAATTGGTATCTTCTCGATTTTCGGCGAAAGTTGACGTCAAAGACAAAAATGTATAATACAATTGTTGTATCTCAAGCAAAAATCTACAGATTTTGTAGAAGTCACTTCTAACATTACCTCAAAATTATCAATCAAAATGCAAAAGTTCGTTCGATCTTTTTTTCCGTTTTCAATTTTTCCTTTTTAACACGCTTATATTAGCTTCACCTGTATGTATGTTTGTAACACTCCTTATGTGGCTTATTGCTGTCAGTATATCCCACTAACTCAAGTTCGTTCGTTGGCCGAGCGGTCTAAGGCGCGGATTTTTGATTGCCAGACTCACTGATCGTGGGTTCTAATCCCCACAACTAAATAAAATTAGTTTTATTTCAGCAATTTTTTTTAATAATTAATCGAACTAAAAAGTGAAAAATAAATATAGTTTAAAAAACTAAAAAACACGCTTTTAGAGCATATCAAAATAATAAGTTAAAAATAATTTTTTAAATAATTAACACGCTTTTATTTTTCAAATAAGCTTAAAACAAAAATAAATGAAAAATACTAGTATTATTGTGAAAAAAGCGTGGGGCGCTTTGTCTATCTTTCTCGTATATCGAGCGCCCGACGCTTTTTTTACAATAATACTAGTATTTTTCATTTAATATTTTTTAAAGCTTATTTAAAAAATAAAAGCGTGTTAATTATTTGAAAAATTATTCGAAAAAGAAATCGATTTTAATGAAAATTGGTGAAGTTATATATTTGTGTGTCTTATGATGGTGGGTGAGTGTTTCCGGGTTTTCCTCACCTGTAAGTCAAATGGTACCATCAATCATCTTTAAGTCGCTCCGGAGCGCCATGGCAAATAATATTAATAGCATTTGCAACGGGTATTCCAAAGCCAGCTAAAGGTTCGTAGTCAGAAACATAATGAGAGTCTACAAGAATTTGAGGCTGATATAAGAAGGTTGATTCATCTGGCCTATCTACAGGTGCCGAAAGATTTCCAAGAACAACTCGGAATACAAGCATTCATTGATGGACTACAAGATGCGGAAATGCAGCAAGTCCTACGACTACAACATCACAAGACGCTAAAGGAGAAACTGATTGCAGCCCAAGAATATGAAGCGGTAAAACTCATATCCAGATCTTCTCTCGCCTAAATGAGAGAAATTAAATCCCAGGAAAGTGAGGAGACCCATACTAATGCTATTCCCTAACCTACCCTCTCGCAAATATTAAATATCCTGCAAAATATACAACGAAATAACCAAAATAAGAACAGAAGATGCTTCAATTGCAGAAGAATCAAGCACCTTCAAAGAACTTGTAGAAGCAGAGCTCGTTCTATAAATAGAGAATCAGGGAATAAAGTCGGAAAGTCACAAAGATCAATCTTTCGAAGCCCGTCACGAAGCCCAACAAGAAATAGTCACAGCAGCCATGCGTCCCGAAGTAGCCAATCACCCACACCGAGCCGGTTTTCTAGCAATAATCAGGAAGTAGAGCATCGTAGAGTCCATCTGTATAGCGATGCAGACATTCTTTCCAGGCGACCCTGTTTAGAACGAGAATGCCAGTACAGTAAGGGGCTCGGAGAACGGGAGGAACCAGTTGATAAAGTTACCCTTCGGGCAACTACTATCAAGCTAGAGGGCGGCGAAGAACAAATCACCCTTTAAAGTCTGAGACAGGGACAGAAGGAAGACAATGACTTAAAGGTTGTCCGAGAATGGCTGAAAAATAAAGTCACACCTACTTGGCAAGAGATAGCCAAATACAGTAGAACTATAAAAGGCTACTGGACCCAGTGGGATTCCCTGTATCTTCACGATGGCCTATTGCACCGGAAGTGGGAAAGTCCCGATGGAGTACATGTAGTCCGCCAAGTGATACTGCCGAGGTCACAGGTGAGAAATATATTGGAGAAGCTTCATAGCAGCCATTCAGGAGGACACTTTGATACTACGAGGACACTGGCACGAGTTCGGGAAAGATTTTATTGGGTCAACTGCCGACGAGATGTAGCGGATTGGTGTAAAAGATGTGATGTATGCAATGGTAGGACAAAGGTCTATGGATTCGCTCGGCAATATTTGAAAGTTAATAGCGATAAAGCAGAAGCTAGAATCGACATGCATGCCATAGGGACACATTTTAAGAGAGGCGATTACTGAATCGCCTCTCTGTACAATCCCAAGCGCCGAAAAGGACTTTGTCAGAAGCTGCAACAGAACTGGGAAGGCCCCTACACCGTCCTCAAGAAAATCAACGACCTGATCTACCACATTCAGTTGTCAACGAGAAGTAAACCCAAGGTAGTTCACATTGAGAAGTTAACGATATACCATGGTTCAGATCCTCCCCGTTGGCTCCAACCAGATCCCAGTAATCAAGTTATTCGGGGCGAATAACTAGAGAGGAGGGAGCAATGTTACGCAGCACCCTGCAGTAGCCTGAGGCTATCATAGGAAACGTACAGATGGAAAAAGAAGTAAAATGTTACTCATAGCTCTACAGTGTGCTGCCGTCGTCATAAGTAAAAGTACAACAAAAAGAATATTCCAGTTATGTCCAGAAATGTCATTACCCGTCAAGAACGTTCTAGATGACAGATCGAGAAGGTTCTAGAAGGTCAAGAAAGCAATATAAGTCGACGACCTGACGTCAGAGTTTTAGTTTTATGATAGACGTTATACGTGAATGTTATCAGTCGTAAAGTTATTGTCAAAATAGTTATTGTAAAGTTCAGTTGAAATAAATTGTGATACCAAAAATCAGCGTTACATTATCAAAACTACATTCCAAATCGAAAAAAATTATTACCTAAAAAACTTTGTAAGATAATTTTCACCGTAGAATTTCTTGTAAAAAAGTTTTCTTGACGTAAAAAAATTAATATCTGTAAATTTTTTATTTTTTTTTTGCTTATTTAAGGCACAAAAAGGTGTAATTTCACCAAATTTCATAAAAATTTATTTATTTTTGGAAAAAGGAAAAATAAAAAACGAAAAGAAAAAATTCGAGCGAACTTTTCCCTTTTTATCGAAAGTTTTGAGGTTATGTTAAAAAGTGACTTCTACAGAAGCTGTAGATTATTGCTTGCTCTACAACTTTTGCATAATAAATTTTCGTTTCTGACGGTAACTTTTGCAGGAAAACGCGATAATACCATTTTTAGCCCCTCTTCAACCCTCTAAAACTTCAACCCACCCCGGGTTGCATTTTTTTTATTTACCCTCTACCATTTACACTTATTAAAGTCCTGTTAACAATTTATTTATTTATTTTTTTTGTTCATTTTAATAAGTTAATTTGACTGGTCTAGATGTATATTAGCAATATTAAATCTAGATAACTGTAAAATAATATACATTTTTAATATTATATCTTATTAGTGTGGTAATTTCCAATGTTCCTTTTTTCTCTATTATTTTTAAATTATCAATTAAAATAAAAATGTATCCAAAAGTATTGCATGTAAGGCATATAGTATTATAAAAAATAGTGCAATAACATACTGATCAATTTAAAAATATGTGTAAAATCGCCTGTAAATATAAATAAAAACCTTTGATCTCAGACGTTCTATCTAACCATTATTAGGTATTATGTATTTGTTAAATATTTTAACTTAACTGTCAATAACAAAGTCTTTTTAATATTATTTTTAGTGTTTTTTTTTTAATTTTTGGCTATAAATTGACAATGTCGCAGAATTAAAAAAAAAACTTTGCATTGCAAAGTACCATTTTACCCTGACATCAATGATAAAAAACATTTAGGGTGATTCTTTTAAAAACATTGACATTTAAGTAACTAGTCCCGATGTAATGGAAACTTGTATATTTCACAGCATTTTATAAATAATATAAGAAGGTATACCTGTTCAAAAATGACAAGCATTTTTTAACAGATACGTCAGATGCTCTTATAGCCCACATTGTATAAATAATGAAAACACAGGTAACATAAAAATAACATCATAATACTTCATAATTCATAGTTTGCCTTAATTAATTTGATATAAATTAAATTAAATAAAAATCATGTTTCAATCACATTAAAAACAACAAACACAATGCAGCAAAAGTTATTTTTAGAATCAACTGATCAAACCAATAAACATTAAAGCGAAGAAATGTTCTTAGCAGCAAGCTTTAAACCCCATGTAAGTAAATTCGCATAAAAACAAGAAACCAATAGAACAATATGATTCTCTATTATCAATTCAAACCACATCTTTCTCTTCATATGAGTGTATTTCCGTCACTCTTATTAAAGCAAGCAAATGGGATGTTTAAAATAAATTAGCAAGCAATGTCTTTTTCTTTCTCGCCATATGATGTTCTATCGGCCAACACAAGTTTAACACGACCAGCTTTGGCAAATCTCGTCAAGCGCTGGGGTTAGGTCTAGAAAACCTAGTCAGAATACTTCTCACCACTAAAAAAAAACACAATTACTTTTACTCTTGCGACAATCTTGCAACAAAATAAGATATTATAAGCCAATGTTTAATTACAAATATTATGTAAAACTAGTAGATTAGGTACAGTGTTTATAAATGTTATCAAGATTTAAATGAACACGTTAAAAAAAGGTATATTTTTAATTTTAACATCAGTGAAGGTTCATGCGAAACCCAGAATTTATTTTCTACAATAACAATTCACAGTCCATTATAGGAAGGAAACCATACGCAAGACGTGGAAAGTACGTAAGGAGTAAGAAAAATCCACTAGTTTGTAACAACACCCTCTTACTTTTATTTAAAAGATTTTCTCGCACGGTCATCCAGTATATTTCTTCTTAAAGAAACGCCTATGAAATATATAATTTGATAATTTTGTGGAATGTCAACCAACCACATTTGGTAATACAGAGCCCAAACGAAGCAAATTTTAGTATTAGAAATTTCTACAGGCCTTGTAGTTTTAAACAACAAAAAATATAATTACCCTGTACAATTGGTCATCCAAGGCTCTACCTCGGCCTGCCTTTAATTCTTGGTATTGAGATGTCACACAAAGAAGACTATATATCTGAAACAATAAAAAATATGTTTATTTATATTTTATGATGAAAGTGTGATAATGATTTACAAAATCCCAATTTAAATATGGTATATCCTCTTTTTTTTTTGTGTTGAAGTTGTGTCTATTTGTGCGTCCTTACTTTTGAACACAGTTTTGAGTTTTGTCGATATATAGGAAAATTATATTTCTCAGTTGATACCTACTTTTATACTTCAAGCATAGTAATCGCAGTCACTAATAATGAGCAAAAATACTGTTCAAAAAGTAAATTTTAATCGGAAACTACAGTCACTGGGCTGGATAAGGATCACTGCCAAGTGAAACGTGTTTATGTGGACAATAAATAAGATTGATTAAGAATACAGTATGGGAAAAAAGTGCCTGCGCAAAATTTATAAACGATTTATGAGAAGGAATAACCGACAAGGAATTACTAGACTTATTCAACAAACCATATATTTTATGCACAATTAACAAATATGAACTGAGATGGTTGAGATATATTCAATGAGAGAATAACTAAAAAAACTAACGGAATGTGGCATAAGAGGAAAAGGAAAACGAGGAAGGACAAAAATAAGATGGAAAGATGAAGTGCTAAAAAGTTTCTGAATATCATCAACTGGCGATATTAAAAGACAGGAAGAAATAGAGGGGCATATGGGTTTATTTAAATAGTTTACCAACGTCTATGTTAAACCTCAAAGCTCTATGTTGAACCAGAAATGATTATAGGCAAGTAGGGAAAATAAACCGATTTTAAAATGTGCTTAAAATAATTAAGAAGTTTATTTGAAAAAAACAGATATCCATGTTTTGCGCAAATCGAGTGTGTGTGATATTTAGCTTTGTATTCTAGCCTTGCATGCATTCTATCATTTAGTAATGTAAAAACATCAGCAGTTTACATAAAATTAAAGGTACTAAAATGTGATGTTTAGGGTTAGTACCAGAACGTCATGAAGCTTTGGCCGAAGTATCCATCAACAATGTGGTCACCTTAAATTGGATCAAATGTCACGCCACATCGAAAGGTTACCGTCTTGCTGATTTACTATCCAAAAAAGCAGCCAACCAAATAGTTTTTGGGCCTGGCCCTTCTATTGGCCTGACAAAATCGGTAGTGACAGACCTAATCAAAGAACATTTCCTTGTGAAATTCAAGGAAAGATGGGATAAAACAAGAAACTGCAGAGTTGCCAGCAAGCTCTTAAGTTATCCTGATAACACTGCAACAAACAAATACTTGACTATGACTAGACAGAATCTGCGCCTAGTTACAGGTATTCTGACTGGTCATTGCCAAGTACGAAAGCATCTGCATATCATGGGGCTGTCAGACTCCGCACTCTGTAGAGGATGCGAATAAGAAGATGAGACTATCAAGCATATCCTTTACGATTATTTGATGCTCTGATTTATTAGAAGATTTTGTTCGGCGAGTATCGGCTAGCACCGGCCGATATAAGAGAAGCACCTCTTGGCGACGTTGTCAACTATAATAAACCTGTAGGCTGGCTCACAAGATATGAGGTGTCTATCATCTCAGGAAGATGCACAATGGGCCCAATGAGGCCTAAATGCCGTGGGGGTAACCCACCCTCCACACGTTACAGATAAAGTAAGAGAAGTGATGTTTTGGAATAACCACATAGATACATGTGATTTGTCGAAAACCAACAATTGTTGTGACATTTTGACTATGACGACACTGTCTCCAAGTCTCATCATAGTCTCTCATACAGGGGCCAGAGGAGTCTGATTGCAGGCACATTTCAAAATTTAATGATGTTATAGAATATTTATGAATTAAGATTTAATAATAGCAGTAGGTACTGTATATAGGCAACCAAGAGGTAATAATTTATTGTTTTTGGATCAAGTTGAAACTTTGTTTTCCAACATTGTTTCAAATTTTGATTATATTATATGTTGTAACGGTTGGAACCGTTTTCGTTATTTAGACCCAAACATTGTAACGGTTGGAACCGTTTTCGTTATTTTGACGCAAACATCTCTACTCTAATGTCATTTGTCGTTTATGCCTTGCGTCAAAAGCCGATTTTCATTTCGATTGTCAACGAATAAGTTTATTTAAATTTTTAATTATCTGGGTCATCCGATGTACTAAATAAAGTTTATCTATCGTATAGGCCGATAAGCTGGCTGTATCTAGACGGTTTAGAAGTTTAGAAGTATAGAAGTTATAGAGTTATAGAAGTTATAGAAATATAGAAGTTTTAGAAATTTAGAAGTATAGAAGTTATAAAGTTATAGAAGTTATAGAAGATTTAGAAGTTTAGTTCAAACTGCATCTAAGGAAGTTTATTTCAAGTATATCAAGAGGTTCGTTCGAGTCATCTAAAGAAGTTTATGAAATTTAAGTTTGGTACTGTCTGAAGAGTATCGTACGAGTCCCTTTGAAGAAGGCCTCTACTAGTCACTCTTTATTTACTACCTCTTGTCCAACAGATAAGTCTCTTTTGAATAAATCGTCTAAATTTAAATAAGTAAAACTCTGTGAATTAGAATTTGTTGCTACCTTTTCTAAAACTTTTATAATTTTAATATCTTAATGGTTAGTGATTTTCTATATTTTTATCACTAATCGATACTCAAGTTTAGTAAGTTTTAAATATAGTGGCTCTCAACATTCTTTTTCAAAGTAATACGAGTTATTTAATAACCTGACCCACTCCCCCAAAATCATTAGAAATTAAAACACTAAAAAAATAGATAAAATAACAAGTATCATGTTACAATGTGTAGGAAATTTTAATATAGACATGTTGGATATTAATGATTCTACTACAATTCGTTTTAACAGGATACTTGAAATATTTGATCTAATACAAATAATTAAAGCACCAATATTAATATCAATTTCTGTACAGAATTTGTTAATCATAATCTAGTTGCGGATCATTCAGCAATTTAAAAATTTTCACATTGTACCTCAAAATGACTTTAAAGTAGAATATAAGTCACTTACAAAGATTAATCATGCACAGTTTCAAAATCATTTGGCATCTATGCCCTGGTACAATATTTATTTTACTGAAAACATTGATAAACAAGTTGAGTTTTTAAATAGCTACATAATTACAGTTTTAGGTATACATGCTTCAAAAAAATCAAAAACTAGTAAACTAATTAAACATTCTCCCTGGATTACTAAAAATATTATTTATATGCAAAGGCTTAGAGATAAAGCCTTGCAAAAATTTCGCAAAACACAACTTCCAACGAATAATTGGGATTACTATAAACAATTAAGAAACTACACAACAGATATAAAAGCAGAAAAAAGTGCTTACTTAAATTTTAAATTTCAAACTTGTAATATTAAGGAAAAATGGTCAGAATAAAAAAACTCAATATATTGAGTTATAACGAGACAAAAAAAAAATTGACATACTTCCAAACCTAAAAGATGTTAATACCGTTAACAAATTGTTTACTTCAAACATTAATAATTCTGCTATACAGATAGATTTACAACATTTGTACCTTAATTATTTAAAAAAATATATTACTGATGATTTTTATTTTAACGATGTTTCGGAAGATGTTGTCAATAATATTATTTACAATATCAAATCTAAAGCTTACGGAATGGATAATATTATTATTATCATTTTAGACTTTTGTTGTCCATTTCTATTACCCATTTTTACACACATTATTAATGAATGCTTAAAAAATAGTTATTTTCCTGAATCATGGAAATTCGCTAAACTTTTGCCCTTACCAAAAGTAACTTTATCTGAAGAATATAGTGATTTAAGATCCATTAGTGTTTTACCTGTTTTCTCCAAAATATTAGAGAGAGTAATGGAAATTCAAATAAAAAAGTTTTTAAAAAACAACAATATATTACCTATCAAACAATCTGGTTTTAGGTCAGGCTACAGCTGTGCTACAGCTCTAGCGGATATTATAGATGATTTAGTTAGAGCCATGGATAAAGACTTGATTTCTATCCTAATACTATTAGATTTCTCAAAAAGCTTTCGATAATATAAATCATAAAATGTTACTTGTCATGTTGAAGTTTTTTAGATTTAATAATACATCTATCTGTGTCTCTATTAAAATCATATCTTTAGCAGCGAAATCAAATTGTTCAAGTAGATAATATGTTTTCCACACCGTTGGAAATTACATCTGGTGTACCTCAATGTAGTATTTTAAGTCATTTAATATTTACTTTCCATACCTCACAATTTCCAAGTATACTTAAATACTGTAATTATCATTTATACGCTGATGACACCCAATTATACTATTGTTTTAAGTACTCCAATTTAAATGAATCTATACAGCATAATAATTCTGATCTAAATGTATCTAAAAATCATTCACTAAAAATTAATTCTAAAAAATCCAGAGCAATGATTTTTTGTAATGAGTCAATTAGGGATTCCGTAAGCTCTCCAACATTATTAAAAAATAGTAACGCGTTTATCCCAATTGTTACGCAATGTAAAAACTTAGGACTTACTGTAGATTCAAAATTGAAGTATGAAGAACATATTACATCAAAATTAAAATTGTCTTCTGCAAGTTTGAAAAATAATATATGCGCAACGATTTTCTATCACCAGATGTAAAAAAAAATGTAATGTGATTCACTAGTTTTATCAAATTTTAATCATTGTGATATTGTATGTGGTCCATGTTTAAACATTTTCGAGTCTGGAAGAATTGTTGTGTACGGTTAATATTTGGAATTCGTAAATATGATCACATTTCTACTAAATTTAAAGAAACTTAATGGTTAAATATGGTTAATAGAAGAAATTTACATTTTGCTTGTCTTAGTCAAAAATTATTTAATATGAGGACACCGCCATACTTGCATGAAAAATTAACATTTAGAACTGATGTTTATAACCTAAATGTTCGTTATAAATCCATACTTAGATTGCTTAGATTTTTCAAAGCTAGTTTTAAAAGTTCTTTTACCTACAATGTCACAGTTCATATCAATAACCTGCTAAAAA